TTTTAAATATGATCTCGAAAGCATCCTTTTCAAAGTTAGATATGTACTATGAAAGATTTTTATTAACATTCTGTCCTATGCAAGATTTAAATTTATAGAAAATAATATAAATATTAAAGTGAACAAAGAAAATATCCAGATTGCTCTATAGTAAGAACAAACACTATCAGAGATCTACCAAAAAAGAACTGTTTATAAGGTTTTCGAAGTATTATTTACAAAATATTGCGCTTTAAAAGTTACTAATATACCAAGACAACTTGAGAATTTGACGGAGAAATCAGCAGTATATTTTAAATTTGACCAGAGCTTTCATTTAAAAAATGGTTTATCAGTTTTGGGAAACGAGCAGAAAATTCTCTATAAAATGAACTAAGAATGGAACCTTCGGAATGTATTTCTAGTTCCCATAGAAAGATAATAAAAGTGTGTCATTACAAGGTGTATTAATACGATTTTCGAGTTATTGGAAACCATTAAAAATTACGAGAAATCAACAGGAATAAAAATGTTGTAGAAAACAGATATCAAATTCTTTGTCTTTTGATGTCATCAAACACATCCGTAAGAAAAATGTATAGTGATTTTCGTGTATTGGATATGGATACTTCATTGTACAATAATCGTGAGGGAAAATATTTCAGGATTTTAATTTTTCAATTTTACAGTTTCACATTCGTAGTCAAAGCTACAGACAGACCTCAAACTTTCTAGTTATGTAGTACTACATATGTACAATAATCTGTGAAAGTTTCAAAGAGTTTGCTTTTGGTGAATGCAAAAACGATGAATTTTAAAAACGTTTCAAAACTTCCGGAACACTTCGTAGTGAACTACTCAAACTCTATGCGATAAAAATGCTTTTTAATTCAACTAATAATATTTAAAAATTTGTCCTAATCGGCCAATGAGAAGAAAAAACTAACTAGCCAAATACAACTAAGATCTCAATCGTATCAAAAAATTGCCATTCATTCACATATATATTTGCTCTATGCATTGAAAGTTAGCATCGTCTTTTGATTGTTTGCTTGTATATCGATAAAACTTCAATAAGTGAAAATAAATTTAATAAAAATATGTAAAAGAAAATCTAAGAAAAAATAGCGATTGCTGGATTTTAATCAACTATGGAAGTAATTAAAAACAATCTCAATATTCATCAGACAGCAAAATATTTTCATGTAGCTTAGAGTCTTATTATTTATTTCCTTTAAACTATTCGATGATGACATTGAAATGTCTTGTGATTCAATAATGGTAAATACTAATACTTTTGATTTTTGGTTCATGTAGTGTAAAAACAAAATATTAAATGAAAGATAGGCTAACGAGAGACCTCTTCGTCTACATCAAAAGCACATGTTTATATACGCAACCAGAAGAGATAAGAAAAAGAGGAGAGAAAGAAAGAAGGAGAGCGAGATGGTTTACGACACATAGTTACAATAGAAAGAAAAATAATAAGATAAGAACGAATGACAAGAGAAGGTTAAACATCATATATACACAGTCGTTTCAACCAAGCAATAGAGTAGGTAATGACATACAATACACTCAGCCGGGAACGTAACAGTTCTATACACACTATTCACGAAAAAAGAATCTATACCTTGAAAAGCTCAATATCTCGAAAAGACTTTATTCAAAATTTGTGCATGTTGTTTTATAGAAGTTAGTATAATTGAGTTCTCTATGTGCACAAAATTTCAGATCAAAATTCAAAAATTCTTTTTTTCCGAAAACCTGGAACCTCTAGAAAAAAATTCAATAACTTAATCAAATTCAAATTCGTTTAGAGTTTCTATTAGAACACCATGTGTAATATCTATAGGCAAAAAAAATCATTGAAATCAAAAGGAAGCAGCTGACAAGGTTCCTTTGTAAGTGAATTGAAAAAGTGCACTCTTATCAGTTATCTAATAAGGTATCAAGATTTTTAGTCAAACTAATTTTGGTTTTTTTTTCTCATCTCACATTGAAAAATAGAATAAAGCGAGATGAATAACTTTTTCCTCAATACTAATACTTGAAAATTTACTAGAAGAAGCCAGTGAGATTTTCAAAGTTGTTATATTCAACAGGATTTGCTTGATTAATCCAAATCACCCTCAACTGAGTATATAAAACAATCGTTTAAAACATATTCAAATAAAATTTTACTAAAAAATAGTTGTCTCTTTAAAATTTCTAATCCAAATATTTAAATAGTTATTTAATTATGGTAATATTTAAAATGTATCGTCATAGTTGAATTGGATCAATTATCATTTTATTTAAAAAAAAATGATTTAATCATTAATTGATACTATGAGGTAAGCTTTGTGAATTTATTCATCAAGAATTAAAATTTAGTTTTTTTCTTCTATAGAAGTTTAAATGAATTGAAAATAACAAAAATCAGATGTCGAAATAAATTGTTTGAAAATTCGAAGTTTTACTGGTAAGTTTTATTATTGGTTAACTCTACAACGAATTCTAACTAAAATTACTAATTCAATAAAGTTTATCATTGCTTCATTTAATACAATATTAAGTAATAAAATATATGTTGATCGATTATTTTTCATTCTCATCCTTTCTTTATCCGATATGTATGAATAAAAAGACATAGTTGCAATGTTAATGTAGAATTCTTTAAACTTTAAACATTTCTTGTCTGTTTTAATGAGAAAATCAAAATATTAACAAAAGTTATTCAAAATGTTTGTTAATCCTCAGATCATAAGTAATATAAACATCTACGCTTTTTAATCATTTAATAATATACCCACAAATTTGATAAAGTTGTTGCGAAAAATTCAAGATTATCATGTGTTGGAAGAATATATATGTAAAAAAAACCTATATTGCAAATACATCGAGACATTCACTGTTTGTTCTTTTCTTCCTTTTTCTTTCAATATTAATAGTATAGTATTGAAAGTTTAATGTATGTATAACATTTGATTGATTTTAACGCATGACTGCATGCCGTTATGTGTTTTAATAGTATAACATCACGTGAACTAAGTTATGTCATATCTTACTTCGACTTCTTTTTAAAAACTTGTCATTTGATATAGGTAAAGTTACTACATAGTATCTTCGTTGATTTCTTCCATGAATCTGCTCTCGGGCTTGTATTAATATTCTATAAAGTTATTTGCGATGCAAAATTCAAAAAAAAAATATTATTTTCAATGTATTTTTATAGACAATTATCAGATTTTAGCCTTAGATTCTTAATTTTTTCGAATAGATACGGCTGTTTGCAAAAAAAAGAACTTGTACAACTTGTTTTGTGGATATTTCTTTCGATGTACGTCTATCTGAATTGTTTCATCTCTCAAATGATAGACTATAAAAAGTACTATATTGTAGTATAGTGTTAAGGGTATGAATGTTAGTAGTGTGTTCAGCCACACCCACCCTTTCCAGCAGATATTTTCAGTCAAACTCATTCGAGAATATTCTTTTCAGGTACAATGCTATTGACTTGAGTTCAATCTGACAAGATAGAAAAATTTGGTGATCTAATATAGATGAATTTTGACACAAAGACTAAACAGTCATTTAGTTCTAAACATGTAATAGTTAAGCTAATTGCATTTATTAAGATATAATACTTGCTATTGAAATGACGTTGTTAATTACGACAATAAATATCTTAATAGTGTCAATTAGAGACCTGCATGGAGTCATCTAAATTTTTTTGCCAAAGATTCTGTTTTAATATAAGAACTTTTTAGAATTGTAGATTTTATTCTTTGATATTTATTGTACAAATCAAAGCGTTTTGTGAAGGTTCTAATATCATCTTATAGATAGGCCTTGATAAGACATCATTGAAACTTTTAAAATGCATTAGTTTGTACAGCTAATATTAGAGACCAAAATCTCCGATTCCAAAAGGTTCCTATATTAAAAACTGAATTTTCAGCAAAAAACATATTTGACTCCGTGCAGATCTCTAAGGTTGACACAATATTTTTGGCAAGTATTTCAATATTTGAACATGCCGTAAAAACTAAAAATCTTCGTATATTTATGTATATATCAGTGGAAATCTCATACGTAATTTATTTTCAGATTGATCATTGTAATCTCCTGCAATATGAAATATGGCGATTTTCAATGGCTTTTGTAATCTGTCAAATATATTCTTCTGCCAAAAGCGACGAATGCATCAACCAAGCTTGTAAGCATTAATCGAAACTATATTCACGATTGAATCTTTATTCTTAAATTTTTATCGATATCCTAAGTTTATGCATATATGTTTATAAGATCTTGTGTGACATTCTTTTTTCATGTTGTCAGCAATTTGCTGAATAAAGTCGAACTTTTTATTCATAGTTCAAATCTTATATTTTCTTGTGATAATTGCATTCACAAATTTCTATTTCTAATTCAGATAAAACTTATATTTTAATTGTCTTTGATCTCTACCGTAAAGTATCGATTCAAAAGTTTTATTTTCATTTATCTTCTGATTTTAAATTAGACTTTTGTATCTTTATTTATATAAGTCAACTCATAGATTTTCGAGAGTTCTCTTAGATATTAGAATTATCGAATTCTCTGACACGTGGATATATTACCATTATGTGCAAGGAATCTTTTGACCAATACGAGTTTCGAGTACATTATGTTGAATAAAATTAATATAATAATTCTTCGTTCTATCTAATATCCACATTAATACATATCGTTTTAAATAGACTTAATGGCGCAATTTTTTCAATGTGCTTCATAGCCACTGCTACAAATCGTATGCTGGTATTTTATTGTTATGGTAATGGAATAAATTTCACACTTTATACACTCTTCTGGATATGGTTGACTATCACTCCGGATCTTCTCGTTTTGCTTATTTTGTATATTTTATTGTTTTGCATTGGATGGAAATATCCTCAAGTCAATCAATATAGCATTATAGTTGGCTTATGTTTTGCTATATTCATTCTTCTTACTTCATCATGTAATATCGTCATGCTAAGGGTAACAGGTAGGCTCTTCTAAAACAAAAAAAATTTTGATAAATTTGAAGAAGCAAATAGAAATTCCTTCCTAGGATGATTTTGATGATGAGAAGATTTTAAAATGAAATATAGAGACTTAAAAAATAAATCGTCATGTCTCATCCTTACATAAAGATTATACCTGGCTACGTAGGATGGTATATTGTCGTAGGCCGACTCTTGGATTCCTATATATATATATGAGTGTCTTAGTAAAAATTGTCTCAATTGTCAATGCAAATACCATCATAGATAACAAAATATTGATACGTCAAGGTAACTGAATAAATGTGTAAAGTTGATATCTTCATAGATTTCATGTAATAATTTAAGCAACATTTACTTATAGGAATCGAGAAATTCAAGTGGAATATTCGTTTGTGAAACTTTGAGAATCGAATTTCTTTTGGTCAGAGAAAACCTCTGTTTAATTTCGATAAAGTTTTTCAAATTCTGATCAAATCCTACACTAAATTCGATCCATGTGAGAACAAATCTTTCGGTTATTTTCTTGCGACAATATCCTACGAGTACTTTCCTAACTCCTTTTATGCAAACCACTGAACATTCGAATGTCTATCATTTACAACTTCAAATTATTACGATTTCTTTCACATTACTATTCGAATCACTCTCATGTTGTTTGAGTTCGTAGTTATAACAGAATGTCCAGAATGCTAAGATTTGTCTCTAATTTTATTTTCATGCTTGTCTCATTCAGTCATCTGACCTAAAATCATCTAGTATCACAACTTCTGAACAATAAGACAGCGATTATTTAGTGAGTTGATAGGGTTATTTATGATATGATTTTATTTAATACTGGAACTCATCTCAACAGAGAATGAAAAGGTTCGAACGTGATGAAATGGATGGGACAAGATGTTGACAACGATTGTAGGTTCATTGAACTCTCAGAAATCTATCAAGCAGATTTTTATTTTCGTACTATTAGTTTATTGGTTTTTGCGATTAGTTGACTCTATCTTCTATTTGAATCAAGGAATCATAAACTTTTTGTTAACGTGTAAACATATAAATACTCTTTTGTATTGTTAATGGAGACTTTTATATTATAGTTAAGACGTATTTTTGTAACTGCTACGGAAGCATAACCAACATCTAAGATCAAAAATAGTTATCCCTTTTTTAAAAGCAAAATCTGTTATTTCAAAACTTCGATTAGTTTCAATCTTAGAGATTTTACAGCAATGTGTCATGTGTGATGATTATCTCATAGTGAAGATTTATTCGAACTTTTAGAAACGTTCATCCCATCAATAAAAAAACTGTTTAAAGCTAAACTATAACTTTAGTTTGTGATTCGAACAGCATTTTGAAACCTTTTTCTAGGAAAAATAGTTAGTTTTTTTTTATTATATTTCTCGAAAGATTGATAACATGAGCTATATAATCTTATCTAAAAAACAAAATAGGTCGAAATATGGAATGGAATATCTTCTTCGAAGTGGACATAGCAACGACATATAGTTTGTACTTGTCACAAATTTCTTCGTTTCTATCACTCGTGGTCTTATACTTTCTCCTCGGTAGTATATTTTGGTTCAGTGTATGTCGTTACATTCAGACGCACAAAGCTCTACGATTTAGTCATTGCAAGACTGTGAAAATACTCGTTCCATGTCTTATTCTTATGTATTTATTAATTATTGTCTTCTATCATCTACCAGAACCATATACAAATCTATCATCGAATATGGTATTAATATATTTTCCTAAAATAATTTTACATTATTGGAGAACAAAATCATTAATATCATTTCATGTAAATGAAACTGCGTTCAATAATGTAACACAAATGATTCGTGCACCAGTCGTTGATATTTCTCGTCCTTTAGTTACTTTAAAAGAGCCTATTAAACATGTTTTCGTCATTGTTCTAGAATCAATTCGTGCTGATGCTTTACCATTAAACAACAATTTAGCCAATGCTGTAAAATCTACTTTCACATCCGATGCAACTGCTGAAAATGTGACACCACTTCTTAATTCACTTTGGATGAATTCTGTTCGTACAGTTGCATCCGTTACATCATCTTATACATTAAAAAGTCTTGTTAGTATTTTCTGTGGTATCTATCCTCTCAATGTTAATTTTCTCAAAGAAGCAAATTCGGAGAATTTCTTATACGAAAAATGTTTACCTGAATTACTTCGTGAAATTTTTCAAACGACAAATAATCAATCAACATTTCGTTCAGCTTTTTTTACAGCAGCTCGTGATGATTTTGATCATCAACGAGATTTATTTAATAAACTTAAATTTGATACCATAATTAATGGTTTTGATATTTATGAACAGACAGGAAATGTTCCCGATCTTGGTATGTTCGGTCCTGCTGATCAATATATCTTACCTCTAATGTGGAAATGGATTGATAAAAATCTAGCAGAAAACGAAACAAATCATTTAATGATGAGCTTATTAGTTACCGGAACGCATGAACCTTTTCCGCAACCCAATGATTGGTCATTTGATGAATACCGTTTTTATATTGATGAGCCAAATGTAAATAATTACCTTAATGCTTTACATGCAACTGATGATTTTTTGAAAGAAATTTTTGATGGTTTCAAATTACGTAAATTATACGATGACACACTTTTCATTATAACAAGTGATCACGGTTATGTATTCAACGATTATGGAAGACAAATGCTCGGATTATTAAGTACTCCTCTAGAATGTGCATTTTCAGTTCCTTTAATGTTACACAATCCACATCTTGAAGCTAAACAACTCGATGGTCAATTTACCAATATGGATATATTGCCAACTATTATGGATATATTATTATCGTCAATAAAACCTATTCAACAATCAACAAATCAACTATTATCTGTGCCAAATAATCAATTACAATCGATATTATCTCGATATGAAGGAACATCAATTCTACGAATGCTAATTGAAAAACAACCTGTTCGATATACATTTCATTTGACAAATCCCGGTAATTCTTATATCATTGTTAAACAATATCCAAAAAAACTTACGTATGATATTTCAAATGATGAAGTACATTTATATCATCTTGAACATGATCCATTTGAATTAGTTGATTTAATCCATCTCGATTATAAAATTGCGACTACACATCCACCATGGATTAATGTGATGTGTAATAAACACTGGAGGCAAACATGGAAAGGACGTTGGACTAATAAATATCCGAATGTTAGAATTTATCATAAACTTTTATTGGAAAATAAAAGTTTTGTGTCAATTTCAACATCGAATTCTATGAACAATGACAAAGTACAATTGAAGGATATGTTAGATTGGGCAGATCAAACATTGGAATTGGCTCGTTTTTGGAAAAATCTTGTGAAACAACGGTATCGTTACGAAAGCAAAACATTCAATTATCATACGAATTAGAAAAATTATTAATCAAGAAATAGTTTTTTTTTTATGCGATCTTTCTTTTCAAGTCTAATTGTAATAATGTTGATATCTACAGTAGTAAATATGGACTTTCTTTTATAAAGTTTCAATAAAATTATTTTGATTTACAAAAAAACGGTTTTATTCATGTAATATCAAATTCTGAAAAAAAAGTACGATTAAAAAATAGAGGCAGACATAAACCATTGCAATCAACATGCAAAAAATATTTTTCATGCAACAAGAAAGAATGACTACTTTGAAGTTCAACATTCTTATCGTTTGCTACCATTTCTCGAGCACAAAATAATTATATCTTGCATTAATTAGTTCCAATCGAATCTTTTTCTATAAGTACGATTCATTTTTGTATCACCGCTCCTTAATCATACCAGTTGTTGAACTTTATTGTTAGAAAGTTTTAACAAAGAATGTACATCAAACGCTGAAAAGTTTTCAAAAAATATTATAGAGCAACAAATATGCAGAAAAAATTGACGAAAAAAATCTTCTCAGTCACCGATAGATGCAACCGCTCGGTCGGTCGAGAAGAGTTTAGGTGATGGTCGCCGTTCCAAATGTACCGGCATGTTTCTGTAAAATTTCAGAAATTACATATCAAACATTGGATGTCGTATTGAGTCATTTTAGAAATAAGCATATTCAATTATATTTAAAGATAAATAAGAGAAATTGACCGCTATTCGTCGCAATGTATCTGCATTTTGCTCGTCATTCATAATCTAAATGTGAATTTGACGTTATATTTTTTTAGGAAAGTACGACACGATAACTAAAGCAACAAACTTTTATGCGTATGGGTGTGAGTACCGAAATGGATTAAAACTCAGATCCACATTCACACTCCTGTGCGGTCTTTCGTTCATGGAATAAAAAACCTCACAAGGTTCTCAATTCCTAGCAACAACAGATCGCTTATCGTTTAAGATGTCGACGGATGAAATCCAGATTAACAACTCTAATGGAAATATTTCTTGGAAAAGAGACAGACGTACTATTTAAGCTAAGTTGTTCTCTCCGCTTTTGAATAAAAATGTTTATCTCGTTTGTGCGTTTTTATTTTTTTATTATTGAACGTAACAATCATTGTGACACGATTGACACAAACAATTCATGTGGAATTCTGTGCAGCATATGCTTGAGTTCATCGTAAAGAAAAATTTGAAAGACGCGAATCGTATATCAATTATACATTAAAAATAAGATATCAAACGTAATTTGTTCATGTCATGCAAATAATTTTCTCATTTTTGAAATATTTATCTTATAGAAAAAGTAACTACAACTTTTTTTTTCAGAATAAAAAAAACGAAGATTATTCTATTTTATTATTTTTTTCTACGCAGATACGCTAAACACAGCTTATTTTAACACAAGAAAAATTAGTGAACGTCAGTTTCTTCATCAAGTAATATAAAGTGACATAAATTATTTGCTTTATTGCACGTCAAATAATGGAAACAAATATGAGCGAGACAATCTTCAACATGACAAGCACTGTGTCTATGATAGAAACATCGAACAGTTGAACGTACATATGACAAATTACTTTTGGAATTTTACAAACATGCCAAATATTATCTTTTATTGCTTATCTAATTGTTGGTTATTATTTTCTTTCTTCATCAAAAGATTTTAAAAAAACACTTAGTTTTGATGGCATTTTTATTATACTGATACTTAATTTCATTCAATTAACTTATGACTTATCACTAAGTCTTCAATATTTGTATACAGGCATTGTTCGTCCATATACCTACGCAAATTGTATCATTTGGGAATTTATCGACGCAATTACATATTATATAAGTCTAGTTCTCATGGCTTGGGCAGCATTTGAACGATATTTCCTTATTTTTCATTCAAATTTATTTATTACAAAACGAGGTCGGATTTGTTTTCACTATCTACCAATGGTTGTTATCTGTCTATATATATCATCTTACTATTTTGTTGTTGACTTTCTATATCCTTGTATCAGTACATGTGATTTTTCATTATTTCTATGTGGTTTTCCTTGTTATATGAATTTACCTACACCTAACCTTTATTCTATTGAATTGATTGTCCATCAAGTTGTTCCAATGATTCTAATTGCTCTTTTCAGTATTGTACTGATCATAAGAGTTATACGAACTCGAACTCGACTACGTCAATCAATCGAATGGCAAAAATATCGTAAAATGATTATACAACTACTAAGTATTTCCATTGTGTATATGCTCTTTAGTACACCATTTTCACTATATCCTATTGCACAGATTATGGGACTGCCCATGCCGTTTTCATATGATTTCTATGCGAATGTTTTCACTTATTGGGGGTATGGAATCACCATTACATTGCCTGTCATTATTTGTTTCTCATTGCCGAATTTGACAAAAAAATTGAAATTGCTTTTCACTATTCGCAATTTACGACGAGTGGGATCACATAAATAGAATGCTTCACTGATCCAAACGATGTTGGATACCTACATAAAAAGAACACGAAGACTTGAATTTGTACTTGACAACTATTGAAATACATTTTTATTGTAAGGACAAAACATTTCAACATCATGTCATTTCTATATCTTTGATTGTGTGCATAAATCCAATATACACTAATAAATGTTTAGAAAAAAGTTTCCTTGTTAAAGTAATAATCTGATAAATTTTGTTTTCTCCGTGTTTCAGATTCTATCGTGCACTGTTAATCCAAATTATAAATCTTGTGTTTCCAATATTCTTTCATTTACCATAATGGTATTATAGTATCAATGACAACGTTCTTTTAGCGTTTTCAGCTATTTCGTATGTAAGAGAAGCTAGCTGAAAGCTTACTTCTGTACTTCAGAAGATGAAAAGTATGAGGGAGTACAAAGTACTGGTAAGAGGTACGAAAAAATCAGATGAAGCATGTAAATGTAGATAGAAGTGCATTCATGTACATAGAACTTTCTTATTCAAGTCAGTCGAACATATGATCAATAATTTTTTTTTATTCATTTAGCAAATCGATTGTTTATGTACATAGGCAATGCACCAGCAAGGTAAGATGTGGCAGTTGCTTTCCTTAGAAAAAGTTCAGAGTAACAATAAGAAAATATTGCTTCTTCCAAAAGATTTATCCTGTATCATTCACGTTCATGTATAGTTTTCAGTGTAAAGTAAAAATATTTTCTGTGTCAATTAGTTTCATCACAAATTCGTAAATCATTGAAGCTTACTTTTGTTGTCGTCATATTGGCATCATTTTCGTCGACCACCATCATATTAACGCCTGAGACATCAATACAAGAATAATCAATGTTACAAATTTCTGTTCTTTTTTCAATCGGTACTTCATCAATTATGACTGTTCCCTTTTTAGATAGAAAACAACATCATTACAAAGAAATTCTCGTACAATTATTATAGAGCTGCCAGTCTAGACTGCTGCCTGACAAACGCTTGCAAACTGTGAGGCTGAATATTGAAATTTTAGTTTATGCTAATCTGTCCATATGGTATTATATCAGGCTACAAGCTGAGCGAAATGTAAAGGTCTAGTTCTACTGTTTTGAGGATCAGATGCGGATGAGCTGGCTTATTTATCCAAATTAACTCGGCAAAATTCATTCAATTTTGGTAATAAATGCTGAAGTAGATTGCCAATCTAGTAGTGCAGGATCTATTTTAATTGAAGAAAGTTGTTTACATTTAAATGATATTTGATATTTTGTACAAGGACATGCTACCGTTCCATATTTATAGTAATAAAATAAGACAATAACTGTAAAACTAGAATAATACATTAGCATAAAGTGAAACAATTAATAAGTTTGATAATCAGAAACATCAGTCGGCCTGTTTTGCTCTGCACTTGTCTACAAGGCAAAGGTGCATACCACTTTTTTATATTGAGTTAGGCTTGAGAAGCCCTCGAACTAGATCAAGCCAGATTTACCCAAAACAAGTAGCCTGTTGGCAGCTCTTACGTGGTCAGTCATCATCAATGAAAAAAAAGAACTTATGCTTAAAATATGTATTTCTTTGTCTTTTTTTCATAACTATTATTGTCTCTGCTTGTAGATTTGTCATTTTAAAATTTTTTGTAGAGCAAGCTTTTGTATATATCCATACTTTTCTTTTTTGTCGAAGTTTCCTACGTCCAATGATCTTCTTTTTCACTAATCACTATGTTAATAATTATAGACTTATACAGCTTAATGTAAAGACTTTTCAATCAATTTCTGTTTGGATCTGTACGATTTTATATTATCTATATGTTTCAAACGTTATTTAGGCATCAGATAGATGTAGTGAGAAGTACCAAGAAACACATTTTTTCTTCTCTGTATTTGTCTCTTCCAAAATAAAATTATTATGTGTCATTTAAAATCATAAGATTGTTTCATGATAGGAAAGGAATCAGTATCACACATTGACAAGAAAAATTCTTTCATTTTCTTCAAAAGCTTTGCAACAGATAGCTCAGTCATGAACAGAACTCAATGAGTCTTGCAATCGTATTTCGTTTCTCCTATGTATATACAATTAGAATTGGAGAAACGTAAAATGCTTTATTCGAAAGAAAAAATAAAATAAAATGAACTCAAAATGAACATTATTTTGGATTAAGCCATATTAAACTTGCAAATGCCTTGTAATGTTTCAGTTCGATCAAAAATTGCATAAACAGTCACATCACCTTCGACTACTAATTCTTTCGTCAGTATTTGGTTTTCATATCCATATGTTGACAGTGTTTGCTGGCCATTGTGAACACTCACTGATGTAGCATCAGGGATGTGCATTCGGATCGTAATACGTTCTCCTTGATGCAACGTCCGACGAAATGGTTCAATCAATGTACATCGATGTTCATTGAACGAACGATAGAGAGTCGGAAACATTGGAGCATTGAGAACGCCGACCACTTTGAGACGCATATGAATTGCATCGACGTATGTCGCTTCATTGGCATTTTTGCCGTAAATAGTGATATCA